GGAGAAGTGAGAGAAAGGTGGAGGGGGTGGGGCGTGTGTGTAAAGAATGATGAATAGTTGCAGGAAGATGGGGGCGAACCAGAGAAGACAAAACGTTCCTGTCTTTTTTTAATTAATTAATTAATTATTATTAACATTATTTATTAATTAGGTGTATAAGTTAGACAAGAAAAAGAAAAAATATACTTTCAAATTCCTTTATGCGCTTAAAGAGGGTGAAGTACACCCTTTTTGCCATGTCAGCCTTTTGTGTTTAATATGAATCATTTTTGAACATGTAAGGTGTTCAATAGGTACTAGTCTTAATTGAGGTGTCTAAGTGAAATATGCGGATAACTTTAAAGGACCGTAGATAACTTAAGCCTATATGCTCAAATTAACCCTTTTACTTGCACATTATTTTATAAAGTCACCTTACGCCATCACCAATAAAATGAAATTTCACTTGTAGCAATCAAAAGGGATCGATGTTACATGAAATATAAAAATCACAAAAGGCTTAAAAATACCCCTAAACTATCGGAAATAGCTCAAATTTATTCTTAAATTATATTCTGGTTCAAAATTACCCTTCCCGTCAAAGTATTGGGTCATACTTACCCTTCTAATTAATAGAAGTATGTTATGTGCCACGTGGACGCCACGTAAGTGCCAAACATTTTCCACTTCCACGTAGACTAATAAGATCCCTAATATATAATTTTCCCCTCATTTCTCTTAAGATACAATTTCACCCATTTCTCCTCATTTTCGCAGCTAGAATAAGAAACGATTTCATAGATTTCTTCGATTCAGATGATGAGATCAAAGACAAATTAGTTGCTTTAAGATAAAGCATACCATTTAGCAATTGTAAGATGACAACATCACTTGTATTAAGTGTTGGTTGCAACTTGCAATAAATTGCCTTTAACCATCGCTTGGTTTATTGTAACCATATCGAAAGTTTTCTCTTTCACAAACTTCCACGCAACATCCTTAGCTAATGTTGTGAAATCAACTTCGAAACCCAACCGCGAAATGAAGAAATCTGTGAAATCGTTTATTACTCTAGCCGCGAAATGAGGGGGAATGGATGAAATCGTATCTTAAGAGAAATGAGGGGAAAAATAGATATTAGGGATCTTATTAGTCTATGTGGAAGTGGGAAATGTTTGGCGCTTACGTGGCGTCCACGTGACACTTAACATACTTCTGTTAATTAGAAGGGTAAGTATGACCCAATACTTTGACGGGAAGGGTAATTTTGAGCCAGAATATAATTTAAGGGTAAATCTAATCTATTTTTGATAATTTGGGGTATTTTTTAGCCTTTTCCATATAAAAATTAATATCAAAACATTGAGTTCATAAGCTGAAAATTAACATCTGATTGCTTGTCTCGAAGCCTATATTAAGATAAGTTTTTAATTCACCAATACTTCACCTGATATGATATATAATTGATCTAACTATCACCTATCAGAATTTACCTTTAAAGTTTAAGTGGCATATCTTGCCACACATAACATTGTATGCCAGACTCCATTTCAAGAGAAAGTAAATGAAACTAAATACGATAACACTCTAAGATTATTGTTGAATAAATAAATGTGTCATTTAACTTACTATCATTTCATATTTACGTCTTTGAATTCTGAGTGTGCATAAGTGGACAAATGCGTCCTATAGCATAATATACTTTAGTAGACATTTGACCATGCGATACCATATCACGATATGGTATCGTGAGATGAAATCAACGTTTGGACATGCAATTTTACGCTGATTCCATATCATGAGATGTGATTCCATATTTTCCAAAAACCATGATATGGGAATTCCATATCATGATTTGAGATATTTTAATACAAAAATTGATCCATGTGTTTATATTTTGTTAAAACAACCCACATTTATATCTACTAACCATTTATTTTATATGTAAATAAAATTTATAATCACATCATTACTTTTTAAAATTTATTATTCTCACCGACATAAAATTTATTATTCTCACCAACATATAGTTACTTTAACTCACACCAACCAATTGTTAAAGTGATGAAATATTTATGGTCTATGAGCATGAAAATATAGTTGCGGATGATATTGACCAACAAATGATTTAAAGTAACAAAGTTGGTTCGTCTTCTCGGTCATATGATCGAAAAATGTAAGTTCAACGTGAGGAAATTGTCCGTACTATGTGAGAGGATTATATTAAAAACTAGTACACTACAATTTATGTTCATTTTTTATTAAATTAAAGTTAGATGAAACAATTACTTAAGTGAAGAACAAATAGCTTTGTAATAATTTATTATGCGATTTTATAAATTTTTGTTTATTTGATAAGATTGAATAAACAATTGAGACTATTTTAATAGTTTTACAACTTATGAGATTTTTATGTTTATGAGAAAATATACAACACAAAAATTTCATATTGCATGTCCAAACAAAACTTCAATTTCATCTCATGATTCCATATCATGATTTTATATCATGATACCATATAATGATTCCATATCACATGGCCAAACGGGCCCTTAGGATACTACATAGGATGTTGTCGTCGTATAGAATGCCACATAAACTTGTAGATTTATTTATTCAACTTTCTATAAGTTTAAGGGTGTGTTTATGTGCACTCAAAATTAAATGATATAAATGCGTCATTTACTTGATTTTTTTTCGTCCTCACTACCCACAAGCAAGTTGGAGAAAAAAGCTTAATGGGTTCCACAAATTTATGCCCATCCAATTTAGTTTGAGTTGAGAAATGAGATTTTTATTTATTTGTCTTCGTTAATTTGAGTTACTTTTGATTCCGATGACGCCATCAACAATTAACAGGTACAATGCTGTTCCCAATTTCTCCGCTTCTAAAAGCCCTCTGTACCATTGATTAAATCGATAATTTGACCTTCGAAGGCAATGCTAGTTTTCTAATGCTTGGGCACAGCCCTTTATGATCTTAGGGATTTCAAAATTAGAAGTTGCCAGGAGTAAATTGATTTTGAGAATTCTGAGATGCCTTGATGTTGAATATCTAGGTGAAAAGGATCCATACATCTGACCCTTTGGGGTGGCCTAGTGGTTTGGGCTTGGAACTTCCATGTTGGAAGTCTCAAGGAAACCCCTTGCCAGAGAAGGTTTGAGACTTTCATGTTGGAGGTTTCAAGTTCGAAACCCCTTGCCAGAGAAAGCAAGGGGTTTGCCTTCTGGGTCGAGCTCGTCACGCCAGGCTTGCTTAGTGTGGGCTACCTCTCTTGGTTTGCGAGCTATTGCATAGGAGCGAGAGTTTTACCCTGTGCGCATCCACATGTTACCTCTCATATGTGATTTGCGAGCTATTGCATATGAGCGGGAGTTTTACCCTGTGCGCACCCAAAGGGTAGCGACTGCGGGTTTCCCTTGTCATCAAAAAAAAAAAAAGGATCCATACATCTGTAGTTGAATGCATATCAGGCTATCAGCATTCGGCTTTTGATTAAAATTGAAGCAGAAAAGTATGTGAAAACAACAAAGTAGATGACTTAGTATGACTGTGACTGAGGTCTGGTGTTGCTGCCACAATCTATTGTGGTTCATAATTTCGCGATCAAATAATACTTTTCCATCTCTCTATTTTATTGCTCAAACTATATTTGGGAGATGAAAAGAGGTTTAGTTAGTTTTGTTTCTTATATGAGCTTTATTTGTATGCTGAGTATAAACTAGGCATTGATCCTTGCAAACTTCATCTTGTCCCTTTGATATGTAGTATAGGGTATAAATAGTGGTGTTGATTGACAAAAAATGTATTAGGTAAAAAGATGTGGTACATAACTGATTATAGATTGTCTGGTGAACTGACTTTTAGGTTCCTTAATTTCATTCAACATATATATATCCAAATGACAAAAATATGTTGCATGAAAATATTCAAGTGGAGAGGATATAAATAAAATTGTGAACTTGAGCATTTTGCAATACTTAACATTGTTTAGTGTTAATTAAACAGACATGCAAGCTCCATTAGGTATCTAATTCTGTATGATGTGATCAAGGACATCCTATCTTTCTAATGGTAATTTCTTACTTAAGTTGAAAATATTATCCTGTTGCACTGTGCTTCAGTCCGTAACCATGTATACTAATGAATTCTTCTTCAAGTTAGCTGGTCTTAAGTATAACCCAAGAACACCACGTCTATGCACATTGAGCTTCTAATTTAATCTAGTTAGCCATAGGTTACATAGCCAGTAATGGAGTAGTTCTCTAAATTTGTTCGGTCTCTTCAAAGTAAAACTCCTGAACTCTGCTTTATTAGACTGAGGAAGCAGACAAGTTTAACGTTGTATAAATATTTTACCTCGAGGCTATTTTGGAAATCCTCTCAGTAATTTAATTATTTTTTCTTGGAGCATTTTACAGCTTCATATTTCTATTGTCCCTATCTTTGGACACTAGGGTTTTCAAACATTTATCTGTACTCTAACTTCAGTAAAGTGATTGGATGTAGGATATGATCAGCTCTTTATGAGAAATTTCACCTGTTCTGTTAAGAGAAACAGTGTGGAACTTTTTCTTCTTCAATTTTGGTTTTAGCTTCCTAGCTTTTCTTTAATGTGGTTTAGTGTTTTGTATTTTCTCTTTTGAGCTGCTTGTAACTTTGGTATTAGAGCAAGCACCAAATTCCTGGAGTTTGTCTCTAATCGTCTTGCACAAAAGTGCACTTGCTAAGAGCAGAAGCTTCGGAATTTTGTGGATTTGGCTCAGAAGGGAAGCTTTATTACTAGAGGTCCTAGACTTATCATCATATGTGATGGTGCTGCACTTGCTAAGAGCAGAAACTTGGGAATTTAGTGGATCTGTCTCAGAATGGAATCTCTATTATTATAAGTCTGAGCTTTGTCAGCATATGTGGTGCCATGTGAATATATCCGATGCAAATTCTGGTGGATATTTTAACATGAAAAATTCTCAAAATCTTGTGACAGTTGTCTTGTAATGCACATCCAAGTCAACTACATAAAAAATACGAAAAAGGAATCTGGGACATTTAAGTTGGGCTTCTCCTACTTGGATGATTATTTAGGTGCGCATCGTATTGTGCTCGGGTGTTGCAGTTTTCGTAACTGAGGTATGTCTTTCATCTATTTGTCACCTGCAGAGTATTTCTTCCAGTTTATTCTTGCACTTCTTTCATATTTCCTTTCTACTGAATTCTGATCAATTCTTCAAGGACTATTATTTTACTCTCCTGATCTGATATTCCTATGTATTTGCCATTCGTCTGTTAAGTCTTGTTAGAAGTCCTGTTGGTAACTCATATCTGAGTTATATCTATCTTATTTGAATATCTGTATTTGTTTGAAATACAATGATTGTCCACAAGCCATTTCTATTCATCATATCTATATTTTCTGCAAATAATTCTGCTACTGCAAGTTTGGAACACAAAGAAAAACCGGTAAGGCGGAGGTCTTCTGCACTCTTTCGCAGGAACCATCATTAGTACGACCAAATTCAACAAAAGCTTATCTTTTTGGGTGGGGGTTGTTCTTTTGATTTCATTTATAATCCGGAATGTTATAGTCCATAAGATAAGGACTAGCTTGTAGCAAAGCCTTGTTCCTTCACACTCTCATTTTAATTGTGATACCTGAAAACTGTTCAGATTTTGGAGAAGCTGGAGAAAGTAATAAGCAAAAACTGATTACGGATAGTGATCCATGATGAAAAGAGCTATGGCTAGAAGGTGAAAATTGCTTTTACCAAAAATTGATTTGAAACATCATGCATTTTCTTAGTCTATGTTGCTACATTGGATGTCACAAAGTTAAACTGAAAAACCCAAGATCACGATTTTGTTAAACTGAAACATCATGTATTTTCTTTGTCCAATTTTTTTATGTAAGCAAAAAAAGAAAAAAATGAGATGTTGGAATTTGGAAAGTTGATCACAGGTTTCACTACTAAAAGTTTCATTACTTATCTTTACATCTATTCTCTTTTTGAATTTGGTAACATGTTATATTCATCAGCACCCTAATAAAGACCTGGTATATTATATCTACAGATACAGCCTCAAACAAAACTTACAAAGAGGCCATAGAGTCTAGTAATGATTCAACATCATCAACTAACTGTTCTTTACACCAAAAATAAAGAAGAGAAATGCAGGAGCTCTTGATCTTCTGGATTGAACTGCACCTGCCTTCAAATCATCTTGCATTCCTCTCTTCATAACTCGACAAGAGACCTTACTACATCCCTCATTGCAGGCCTGGTGCTTGCCTCAAGTTGAGCACATTGAAGCGCCAAATCCACTATTTTCAGGGCCTTCCATTGTTCTTCTACATTCCAGAGCCTAATTTCTTCATCAAGAAAACTAAGGAAATTGTTGCTTCTCTGCAAGTTTTTCCTCACCCAGAAAACAATGTCTAATCCTTCTTCAAAGCTGGGATCTACTGGCATTTTTCTGCAGAAGAGCTCCAGTAGAAGAACTCCATAGCTATAGACATCACTTTTCTCTGTCAATTGAACTGAGTACGCATTCTCTGAATTGATGGACAGACAAGGAGAAGGAGGGGGGACCGGGGGAGAAAGTAATAAAATTTAGTAAATCATCAAAAGTAATCTGCCAACTAAATTATTACTGAAGACTAGCATAGTAACGTGTGGCTAACCTGGAGCAATGTATCCTAGAGTCCCAACAATATTGGAGTTCGTCGAATTTTCTTCATCTGATACCATTTTAGCAATCCCGAAATCGCCAATCTTTGGCACCATCTCAGAATCCAGCATTACATTATCTGATTTGAGATCTCTGTGAATGATTTGAGGCACCGAATCGTGGTGAAGGTATGATAGACCTTGAGCAATACCAAGAGCAATACAATGGCGGGACTTCCAGTCCAAGACTACAGGTGGTTTTCTCTGGTGAAGGACATCATGAAGAGTCCCTCCAGGTATAAATTCTGTTAGAATGAAGCCATATCCATGTCTCATGCAATATCCTCCCAATCTTACCAAATTGCGGTGTCTGACAGAATTTAGGCTTCTCATTTCATCATTGAATGCTCTCTGAGCTAAGTCTACCTTCTTGACAGCCCAAAGTTTATTGGATTTGGCAGATTCCATCTTATAAACAGTTCCATGCGTGCCTCTTCCAATAACATAGTTTTCACTCCAGCCTTCTGTTGAATGTACAATGTCCTCAAAAGTTATACCATCAGGTAGATCTTCAATTCCTGATTGACACTTGACGAGCCGATGCTTATTCAGCAGGGATGGGTGCCAAATCCGAGTCACTAGTAAGTACATTGCAGCAACTATGATCGCCATGGAAAGCACACATCCACTAATTACACCAGCCAAAGTCTTCCATTTTACTTGTGATTTTTTCGCATGCTTGCAGTTGCTACCTTCCGTGTCTATTAAGCAAAGTCCTGGATTTCCCAAGGCAGATCCTGGACGTGAACTTAATAGTTTTTCCCATGTATTGGGTACCTTCCCTGACAAGCTATTAAATGATATGTTGAGAAACGAAAGGGAACTCATCTTTTCCATTTCTGATGGTATTGCACCAGACAGGTTGTTGCTTGATATATCAAGGACCTCCAATTTGTCAAGATTGCCTAGGCACCTAGGAATTTCACCAGTAAACTTATTCATGCTCAGATTTAGTGAAAAACCAGGTTGCATAAGCTTACTCAGACTGCATGGAATTGGGCCTTCGAGCAAGTTGTTTCCCAGCTGCAGCTTTACAAGCATTTGTGAGGAGGAGAAAGTGTCTGGAAGAGCATCAGAAAGTTTGTTGTCCTGGAGTAGAAGATTTGTCAATACTGAAGATGATGCAATTTCTTTAGGAATTCTTCCTGAAAGATTGTTGTTGCTGAGATCCAACTCCTCCAGTTTTTCAGAGTGACTCAACTGAAAGGGAATTTGTCCGGTCAGTCTGTTTGAAGAAATGCTCAGTTTTACAAGATTCTGAAGCTTTCCAAGTTCTGTGGGTATGGAGCCATTAAACATATTTTCTGAAAGATCAATCATTGAAAGATTGGTCCAGTAACCAAATGCAGCTGGAATCCTTCCTACAAGCATATTCTGTCTAACATCCAAGTAAGAAATATTCTCATTCTTTTCAATGTCGTCTGGAATACTCCCCTGCAGATTGTTGTTGGAAAGTTTTACCCTATAGAGAGATTTGCAGTTTGCTAGATAGGTTGGGAAGCTGCCATTAAACCTGTTGTTTTCAAGAGCCAGGACTGCAAGCGTGTTGCCATTACACAGTTTAGAAGGAATCTGTCCACTGAAGTTATTATAACCTAAATCAACCTTAACAAAGCCAGGAAAATTATCTTTTCCAAGATCAGGTGGTACCTCCCCCGTAAGGTTATTATGAGCCAACGACAGAAATGAAAGTTTCGTCATATTTGTAATTCCAAGCGGTAACTTGCCGGTCAATTGGTTCTCATAAAGAGCTAGCTCCTGCAGCCCGCTTATTCTTCCAATGCATTCTGGAATTTGGCCCTGAATTTTATTTTTGAATGCATTAAATGTTTCTAGGTTTTGAAGGCTGCAAATTTCTGAAGGAATTTCCCCACTGATGAAGTTACTGACGAGACTTATCTCAGCAAGAGAAGTGCAGTTCCCAACTTCTGCTGGCAATGAACCACTAAACATGTTATCATACAGAAGAAGCTTGTACAAATTCTTCAGACGTCCAACTGACTTGGGAATCTGACCACTTAATTTGTTAGCTGACAAATCAATGTAAGTCATCTGATGGCAATCACCAATCTTTTCTGATATACTTCCATTAAAATTATTTATGGAAAGAACCAACTCTTGTAATTTCCCATTCCATAAGGTCTCAGGAATTTCCCCTTCAAAGTTGTTGTCATCTAAATAGAGTAATTCGAGATTTGAAAGGCCCCTAAAAACCTCTGGCGAAATAACTCCTCCAAGATGAGCAGATGTTGCATAGAATGCAGAAAGGTTGTGACAATTACCTAGGGAAATTGGCAAAGAACCTGAGAAGCGATTCTGATGAATAAGAAGCTGGGAAAGTGAGCATGAGGACGGGAAGTCCGGGAGAGGTCCCGTTAGATTATTTGTGTGGATGTAGAGATCTGTCAAGTTTGGCAAACCAAATAGCTCTTTTGGAATATTTCCACTAAGGAAATTGTTCCACAGCCCAAGATATTGAAGGCTTGTCGAAAGGCCCACCTCAGAAGGAATGGTGCCATTGAGCTGATTGTAACCCAACTCAAGGTATACAAGCCTTTTGGATTTGAAAATCTCTGGTGGGATGGATCCTGAAAACCTGTTGTCGTTGAGGAAAATCGTGTCAAGTTGGCTGCAGTTAGCAAGCATAGCAGGGATGCCACCAGTGAGATGGTTGCCACTGAGATCAAGGGAGACCAAACGAGGAAGATGGCAAAGATTTGGAAAGGCCTTGTCCAAGATTCCAGATAGAAGGAAGTCTCTGAAATCCAATGATTTGACTTGTGAAGTTTTGTCTGAATAGCAGGTAACACCTTTCCATTTACAGTGTGAGACAGATTGATTCCAAGGGAGCAATTGTTGAGAGGGCTCTGGAAGATTGCTTCGAAACCCAAGTAGATGAACAGAATCTTGAGGCAATGATGCCGAAAAAACCGCTACAATGCTGGCAAAGAAGATAAAACAGTGAACAAGATCAAACAAGAACATTTCTGAACTCTTCAACACTTCTTTAAAGAAGCTGCATCCAATAAGGAGCTAGTTCAAAAACTAATTTTTGGGCTGGAACCTGAGACTATTATTTAGGTTTTAAGTTGAGGTCAGCCTGTTTTTTAAAGATACGTGTGGGGGTAGTAGGCAACGACTGTCCGAGGGAACAATGAATATAGGAGATTATTTTAAGTAGTTGGTTTTTGAAAGGTCAATAGTAATGAATAGGTGGTAAAATGAAGCATCTATTGAAAACGAAGGTGTTGAAAAAATAAAAATAAAAATTGGGGAAGGTGGACGATAGTGCTTAAAAAAATGGCCATGAATATGAGGTCTCAGCTCCATGCTTTATACTCATTTTTATATAATATGGTAGTTTCTTGAGATGCCCGCAATAATATATTTTTATATATGGCTGTCGGGCCATATATTTACGACTAGGACTAGCAAGTGGCCGCTAGTGCGTCTTGACGAATTTCAAATTTCAGCAATATCTAATACACCACTTGAGTGAAAAAGCAAAGTCAACTAAATATTATTCTAATTAGTTCAACGTTGTACAATTTTATCACAAAAATTGACAAGTTGAGCGACTAAAATGATGTCTTTTTGATCTGGTTGTCCACCAAAAAGGCATCGCTTTCAGATTATCCTCCCCATTTTACAGTTAAGATGTGGATTTCTTTTTGGTAGCACTTAGCAGGGCCCTTAATTGCCCACTGCTCAAATCGTGTGACATATTGTTTATGTCATATTACATTATATATTTTATGTGATACGTTACTATAGGGGTGTCAAAAATGAACCCAAACATAGGTAACCTATCCAACTGATTAGAATTTTAAGAGTTGGGCTCAAGATAATTTAAATTGGGTTCAATCTCAACTCATTCAAGCCTAATCCATTTTAAGAGAATCCTCAATTGAGCCCAATTCAATCTCCAATTTCAACCCGTTTTAAAACTTTTTACTAAGATATGTGCCTATATTAAATGTATGAATTATTATCTATTTAACATCTATTATGATTTATCTATCAATTTGTTACTTTTTTTAAAAATTCTTGAGCTGAAATTCAAATTGTAATTATAAAAGTTAAATATCACTATATTAAAATTATTGAGATTAATCGGGTCAAATTGGGCGGGTCAAGACCAACCTGATTTTTAGCCCATTTGAACCCAACTCATTTGAGCCCAAAGTAAACTTGGGCGGGTCAAGACCCAACTCGATTTCTATTTCAACCCATTTTAATATCTCCAATTTTAACTCAACCCACTCATTTGACACCCCTACGTTACTACATCAATACAATTGAAAGGTATGTTCTCCTCCCTAGGGGTAATAGGCGTTTAGCTGAAAAAGGTTTAAATAAAATGCTCGATTTTGGTCAGGAGGGAGGGGTTGTTCAGGTTGCACTGGGGAGCAAAAAGGTGAAAAGTTCGTAGATCTTTTTTTTTTTTGGTAGCTTAATGTAGGTTTGATTTTTTTTTTTTTTTTTTTGGTTCATATCTTATATTATTAAGTGTATTTATTTTCATTAAAATTCAAGTACTTGTTTGGTCTGAACAAATTTTAAAACCTGTTTGCATTGACGGAATGACTTATTTTGTTATTTTAACTTAAAAAGTACGTATGTTATTTTATTATTTTAATCGAACACTACAAAACTATTCTAAAAGTAAATAAAATAAATAAATTTAAAC